AAAAGGCCCTTCTCTCAACATACCTGAGTTGTAGAACCACTGAGAATAGAGCCGCTGTTCTATTTTCTATTTCTATGGGATCACTTGTACATAGAAGTAAGAACATGTGGTCTTTGTCCTTCTGTGCCTGACTTATTTCACTTAAAATAATGCCCTCCAATTTATCCATGTTGCTGCAAATAACAGAATTTCATTCTTTTTTATGGTGAACAAAACAATTTCATTGGGTATATATGCTACTGTTTCTTTATCCATTTATCTGTGGATGGACACCTCGACTGACTCCACACCTTGGATATAGTGAGTAAAGTTGCAATAAGCATGTGAGTGCAGGTCTTTCTTCAACATACTGATTTTATTACCTCTGAATACCTACCAAGTGGTGGATTGCTGGACATATGGTCATTCTATTTATAGTTGTTTTAGAGCTCCATACTGTTCTCCATAACAGTTACACCAATTTACATTCCCACTAGCAGTGTAGGACCATTCCCCTTTCTCTATTTCCTTACCAGCATTTGTGATTTTTTTGGCCTTTTTATTAATAACCATTTTAATAGGGGTGAGATGACATTTTAATGTGAGTTTAATAAGAGTTGCATGACTCTGATGATTAGAGATGAGCATTTTTCTTTATACTTGTGGGCCCCACTGTATGTATATCTTTTTTTGAGAAATGTCTGTCTGGTCCTTTGCCCATTTTATTTATTTATTTATGTGTTTGTTTATTTATTTAATTTTGGTATCAGGGACCGAACTTAGGACCTCGGTACTTTCAAGGCAAGTGGTGGAACCTCTGAGCTAAATCCCTGGCCCCATTTGCCCATTTTAAATAGGATTATTTGGTGGTTTCATTTTGTTTTTGCTGTTGTGTTCTGTAATCCTTCATATATTTGGAATGGTAATCATACCTTTTTGGATGAACAATTTACAAACATATTCTCTCATTTTGTATGTTGTTTCTTTACTCTGTTGTTTCCTTTGCTATGTGGAAGCCTGTTTGTCTGACATAATCCTACTTGTCAAATTTGGCTTTTTTGGCCAAATCCAAAATATCTTTGCCCTGAAACATTCCTCCTATATTTTATTCCACTAGTTTCATAGTTTCAGGTATTACATTTAAGTCTTTGTTCTATTTGGAGTTGATTTGTATATATAGTGAAAGATTCATTTTTCTTTTAAATCAGTGACTTAGTAAAATAATTTAAAGTTTAGATGGTGCTTGGCACAACACAAGTCTACAATAAATTAGTTGTTCTTATTATACAGTGGACCCACAAATTATGACTGGCTTGACATACAAATGACTTGGGTTAATTAGGTTAATGGAAGATTCATCTGCCTCTTGTTATCTATCCTGTGTACCCAGGTGAACATCCAGATCTCAGCTGTATTGTCTTACAACCTACTTGAGTTACAACCAGCCCTCAAGAACCAACTGAGTTCATAAGTCAAGGGACCTTCTACACACCCCCCCTTTTGAGACAGGGTCTCACTTTGTTACCAGGCTGATCTGGAACTCTTGAGCTCAAGTGATCCTCTTGCCTCAGCCTCCCGAGTAGCCTCTACTTCTAAATACTCTGATTCTTAAACTGCCTCAATATTCTCCCAATTTTAACCTTCCTTGGCTTCAGCACCATCCTATTTATTGCCTATTTTATTTTCCACTCTTCTCAGCACTTCCTCCAGCTAACCTGCTCTCAGTGTTACCCTCTCTGGGCAAACTCTGGGTCTCTGACACTTCTGGGGTCCTCACAGGGAAGCAAGCAGTATGAGTGGGGTGGGGAGACAGAAGTGGATCTTCTTTTGCCTGAGTCCCTAAAGAATGGATATTTTGTTTAGCCCATAAAGACGGCACATGTAGCTTTTAAAACAATGAATTAGTTGCAACATTTAAAAATCAGAATTCCTGGTACTGCACGAGGCCCCCATTCCTACTTCATGACAATCAGGTGGAGCAGAAACCAATACGGCCTTTTTTAGAGTCTTGTGCTCCTGCTCTCCCCAGCTTAGCCTGAATGTTAGGGCTGACTGTATGACATTCCCAGATTCCCCAAATGTTGCTTCCGTTCTGGAAAGAGGAAAGTGAAATATTTCTTGTCTCTATGTCTCAAACTAAAGCAGAAAAATAACTGAGTTTTAATAAAAAATGTGATTGAATATACTTTTTGTGTTAAATAAAGAGCTTGCTTCAAGTTAATATTTAAGCCCAAATGCGTCTGGTTCAGAAGAATTCAATTGAAAAAGCCATTCTAAAGTTGACCTGGCCTGTTCACTTATTATCTTACCTGCTTAACCGTGTGCTCTTTGGGACTTAAAACCTCTGGTCAAGTTGACTGAGCCTCTTGGAACCCAAACAAACCCCATCCTAAAAGTTCACTGGCTAATGGATCTGGGCCCTTCTATGCCCCTTTTCAGACTGACAGCAGACTGGACAGACTGGAGATTCCCACAACTGGAGTAGGAAGAACAGTCATCTCATCTAAGGTCTTGTTTTCCCTTTAAGACAAATATTAATAGCAACGTGAGGGGAGGCAGGAAGTTCTGGGATAGATAAGCCACAGAATCCAAAGTGCTTAGAGAATATGAGCTACAGTTGGAATTAGAGAAGTCTATTTTAATCAATTATAAATAATTATTTTTACTTTCTTTTGTGTCTGAAGCAATTTTAGACTGAATAAAAACATTGCAAAAATAGGAAAAATTTCCTGTGAACTTTCAGATACTTAAAATATTAACATCTTAGAGTACAAGAATCAAAATTTTGAAATCAGCACTGTTACAATGTAGTTATTCTACAAATTTACTCAGATTGCACCAATTGCCCACTTATGTTCTTTTTTCTGGTGCAGTATCTAATCTAGGGTTTCACACTGCATTTTACTGGCAGGTCTCTTCAGTCCTAAAACATGGAACAGGGCTGTACCTGCAGACTGAGGTTCATGCTTATATAAGTTCACCTTTTTGCATTCTTCTACTTTTTTTTATAAGTTGAATACTTTCCAGCTAAAATTTCTGTTCTTTATACAGTATTTTGGGGAGAGCTGGGCTTACTTTTTCTTTTGACATTTTTCTACATGTAAGCATAGAGTTGGAGCCTCAGCATTCATTCAACACCTCCTGTGGTGGGGGAGGACGAAGAAGGGTAATCACATCCCTAGAGAAGTGTATAACACTAACAGATTCTAAAACTAAGAATAAAATAAAAAACCTGATGGCCATTCAGAGTGAGTCACAGAAAAGGTGACATTTGAAAGGGATCATGAAGTATGCAAATTTTGAGATGTGTGTGGGGGTAGGAGAAAAGCTGGTTATGGACATAAAGTGGTCGTACCTTCTGGGATATACAAAAAGTGTTATTTGGGATCAGGACAGAAGAATTCTAGAGTGGCTGGGGAAAGGGATTGGAAGAGATAACTTGAACTATCTCATAGTGCCTTACACTGTGCACAGTGGTACCTTAGCCTAGGGTTTTAGAGCAAAATTCCTGCAGGAAGATGAAAGGTCAAATGGTAATAGTGTTCCTGGAGGAGTGGATCCCAATCAGGAGGGTTCCAGGTAGAAAATGAACACCTGAATTTAAGCAGCAGTTGAAAAGGCTCAGTCAACTTCCAAGCTGCCATGTACAATTACTGATCTGCAATTTTAAAATGCCAAAAATCTGAAAACCAACTTTAAGTTTGCAGAAAATGTAGTTTCTTAATTTGTCCTCTTTATTTATCTCGGTGAATTAAAAGAGGGCCATGATTCTTTGATCTTCCTCCCATCCATGGATTGTACCTGTTCTCCCTCTGTTTGAATGTGGGCTGGCCTTTCTATTGGCTTTGGGCAATGGAATGTAGAGGAGAACCTACCAGCCCAGCCCTGCCAAAATTCCTGGCCCACAGATTCTGAATAAATAAAATGGTCATTTTAAGCTACTAATGTTCGGGAGCATTTGTTACATTGTATTTACTTATTCAAAGACTGTACGTTCAATGACGAAAAGCAGTGTATTTGATTAAAGTGTCAGCCACTTCCAGTTCTTCTGGCCCCAAGGGTTTTAGGAAGGGACTGTCCTCTGCATTATGAAAATAGAATCCTGTAGACTTCCTTCCTGTCTTACACATTTGCCAAATGTCATATTTCATGTGTGTATCTCTTACTGTCCCAACCACATTAGCAGCTCCTCCAAGCCAGCAGATCTCAAGCACCAGCATGCACTAGTGTCTTTCAGAGGGTTTATTCCAGTACAGTTTCCTAGCACCATCCTCAGAGCTTCTGATTCAGTGGTCCGAGGTGAGGCTTGAGGACCTGCGTTTCTGACAAGTTCCCGGGGGCTGCTGAGGCTACTGGTCTAGGGATCAGACCTTAAGAACTACTTACTGCTCTAGGGGAGTGTGCTGTACAGTATTTAACATTTTTATTGCAGCCCAAGGTGCTTACCAAATATGCACATGGGTGGAATTTCTTCCAATGTTGGGTTTTGTTGTTGTTGTTGTTTTATTTTGGGAACAAAAAAAGGGCTTTGGAATAAAGGGCTTTCAAAGCCCTTTATTATTCCCTTGTTGCTCCTGCCTAGGCCTTAAACTTAAACTAATTCCCTTTTTTAAATTTTTGTTTTATTAGTTCATCATTTGTGCTTTCTTCTAAGCTCAGCTGATAAGACACTGAAAATAAAATGTCCTTTCTGACTGGTTCTTAAACTGTCTTGGAACTAATTGTCCCGTACACCGTCACGGTGAATTCAACGGTATCCTCTATTTTGTGACCAAAGATAATCTCCCTCCCCTCTCCATGTTTTCAGTCACTCCTTCACAAATCAGAAAGTGGAGCCACGGGGAAAACGATCCTTTTGGCCAAAGGTCCATCCATCAAGCCTCCCCCCCCCCCGCTTTTCCAGAGGACGCCACTAAACACCCGGGAAAACTTGTTTACGACATTCGGCTTGTCAGTGCAAGGATCAGTGCTTGAACTCAAGTCTAACCTGCCCAGTACCTCACTAAACATCACCTCACTAAATGGGGCGCCCTAGTTCTCCTCCCGCGCCTCAGGAACTCGCAGTCCGTTTGTTATAAGCTTCATTTTGCACAAACCACCCCCTACAAACTTTTTTCTAAAAGCATTTTTGTTTCCAAAGGTGATAGGACGGTCACACTGATTCATCCTGACCGGGGCCCTGAACATTTATTTCCCTCCCACCTCGGCCCAGGCGAGGTCACCAGGGCTGTAAGAGTCCCCACCCGGGCGTCGGAGCGCGAGCGCCTGGAAGCGCCTCGCCTCAGAGCCCAGCGATTAAATTTGTTCCTCAAATTGTTCCTACAGGAGGGACAGGAAATAACACCGGGCTTCGGCGGCGGCCGCGGAAGGGGCAGAAGCGCGGGCCGGGCAGTCCTAGCGGCCTCGCATCAACCTGAGGTCTAAGGTCCGGCCGGCCAGGCCGGGTTCCGCCCCGGAGGTCCGCACAAGGGCTG